TGAGGCGTAACTAATATCGCCTAGATTTCGGATTCGGATCGGGCGTAATTATCAGGTTTCGCCCGAACCTTTAGTCTTTTGACTTGAAATTTATAATAACAATAAGGTCAATTGAGGTCATTTGAGGTCATTTGAGGTCATTTCAAGGTCATTTCAAGGTCTTTTGCCAACCCTTGGGATGTTCAAGTATTAAAAATATAGCATATAAAGAAAATTTTAATAAAATCGATATATTTATTAAAAGTAATTATACATTGATAATATAATATAAATAAAAATTATTATCTAAATATAAATGCCAATTAAAATTAAATATATATACGGTACACTACTACATAGTTTAAATATTAATTTACGTACTACTGAGTATATTGTACTACGTACTCAACACCTTTTTTTAGCATTGTCTCGTACCTCAATTTTAATAGTACCCATATTTGCGTCACATATTTCTGGACACCCAAGTAACAAATAATAAAATTTTTTTTTAAACTTTAATTTCGAAATTCTGAACCCTCCCCCCATTTTTCGATTATAAAAGTAAATCATATGAAAGATTGCTTTTCTGCTCTACGATACACGATCTCGCTTCGTTCAAAATGCCAGTATTAAGAGTATATATACACTGGCGAAACTTATGAAAATGGCTTTACGATAAACCAGTAGAAAAAAAGTTTAAATGGTAGTATAAAAACAGTGTTTAAGGGGAATATATATAGGATATGAATGTATTAATATATTTTTACTTTGAATATTTACATTTTAAATTTTTTAACTTGGAGAAAATAATACAGATCAATTCGTAACTAAAATAATAGTTTGATAACGACGACTAAATAGCAATACTGGATTGAAACCGCTCAACAAGTTCATCTACGTCTTCATGATACTATAATTTAATAAGATAGTACATGAAATTAGAATGATTGCTATTTAAATTTAAATTATAAAATTATATGTAAATGGACTGACTTTATCAAGAATTGTGACAACATATGGAATGCAAAACGAAAGGTTTGGTTTTTCCTAAATTAAAAAATTCAAAAATTAATGACAGCTTGGCCAATTTTTTTTTTATTAAAGAAAATAGATTGTTTACTTGATAAAACTGTTTAATATTTTTCCACTTATTAGCACATTGATTTGCAGTATATTTTTTGGATAGCTCATTCGAGGCACCTTTCCAGATTTTCTTTTTAACTTCGTTAGCTTTAATGCCACGACATTCTAATTGTCGAACCTGAACTTTATGTTTTATCAAGTATATAAGCAGAAGTTTAATTGATATATCATCCCAAATACATGGGACTTTATTTTTCTTCGTTACTTTAGATTTTTCGCTTTTGCCAGATTGGGATCTTCCACGTTTATAAGGTTCGGTAATATCGCCAAATAATGCTAATAATGTCAAAAATTTAATGTTTCAATTTTGAAATGAAAATGAAAAATTAATGCTTATTTTTTTTTTATTACCTTGATTACAGTCATACCCTTTTTGATGATCAGATATGCTGTTGGAAGTCGTAATTTCTAATTGTGGAAGGTACACATATGTTGTTGACGCTTGAATGTCAAGCCAAGTAGAATTAATTGGCACATTTAAATGTACTGTATAATTGTAAATTATTAGTTTGTTTAGGAGTTTGAAACAAAGTAAATAGATTAATGCAAAGTTTAAAATTTTTATTACCATTTTTATAGCTTTCATGTATATTTTGAGGGCTCTGATCATCAGAAATGTTGGAAGTTTTCTTTAGCCAGTCCGTATTTGTTGCTGCAAAGTCATCAGATGGATCATCAAATCTATTGGAAGTATCTTGTGGCCAATTTGCATTGATATCAGATGGCCAAACAGCTTCATCAAATTCATCCTGTGGCCAATTCGTTGCATTGATATCAGACGGCCAAGCAGCTTCATCAAATCCATCCTGTGGCAAATTCGTTGCATTGATATCAGATGACCGAGCAGCTTCATCAAATCCATCCTGTGGCCAATTCGTTGCATTGATATCAGATGTCCAAGCAGCTTCATCAAATCCATCCTGTAGCCAGTCCGTATAAATTCGTATAGTATTACCAGAGGCTCCGACAGTTCCATAATCCGGTAGTTCCGTATTTTGTGACGCAGTGTTGTCTTCAGCTTCTGGGGGGGATTTATTGTAATAATCGTAATATATAATTAAATATATAATGTATATAGATCAAACATTACGTTTACCACCTTGTTAAATTATTATGCAAAGTTTACAAAATTTATTACCTTGATTAACCCGTTGATTATCAGGTTCATGAGATGGATCCATATATGAAAATATGAAAGATGTATGAGAATATGTCTAGTTGAAATAAGAAATTTCTTTCCTCTATTTATAATTAATTTCATTCGAATTGAGTACTCCAATCCTAAATGACATAATTGGATTGAACTCGATCCAATCGCAAGGCTAAACTAATTTAGTTATATTGCTTTGGATTACGGTTGAAATTTTCGAATTTTTTTATTAAAGCGTACAAAATATATGAAGATAAGCTTATTATTGTTTTATAAATACTAATTATAGTTTTTATTCCGATTTTTTTTTGTTTCGAATATAATGTTTAATTTAAAAAAGCATAGCATATATCGAAAACCTTAATTTTGGATCTAACCAAATTTGGTATTGTATTGGATTTGAAATAAATATCAAATATCGACCTTTATAAAGTCACATTCTGTATAGTCACTCACCTCTTAAGCAATTGTGGGGAGTATTTAATGTAAAATTTGACTAGCTAATTAGGCCAATGAAATATGATCGGCGTTGCATTATTTAAATCACAATAGATCTTACTACTTCTAGATAACGAAACTTTTTTGAGTTTAATGTGATCGACACCTGAGTGATACGGAAAGTTGTAGATAGTATATCACGTGAAATGATTTTGAGTATATTTTTGTTATACGAACAAGACCTAACCTGCCAATGTTAACGTTAACTCCTTGCAATTAAGTATACTCAGCATCAATTATACACCATACAATACTCAATTGATCGACCATACTCTACAACTTTCCGTCTGACCTAATCAAGATGGCATCCATGCTTATGAAATATGCCTGATCAAGTGATGATATGATTTTAATGAGAATCAAATGAAGCAAAGAAATAATTTAGATCAAAATTTGCTTAGGCATGCAAAATCTTTGGAGGGATTGCTTTCAAGTATTAAATGATTGGAAAGCAATTCTGATCCCGAATTTGTATGTACGATAATTTGCATCTTTAGGTAAAAATCTGGAAAGCTTTGATTAAACAACATCATATGACTACTAAAACAAATCAACCATTTGTTTATGTTTATAACATGGAATTGGATTTTTAATGGAGAAACTATTAATTTAACTTATAAACCATAAATGAACTTATTAAAATTGATGTTATTGTTAGAATCATTATTATCACATGATAGATATAGATGACTTATTTGACTTATTGCAGTTAACATCTTTTATACATGAACATTTAATAGCTAACCATAGAATTGAAATTACTAATTTTATGAATAAAATATTAGAATTAAAACATTTAATATTGATAAAAATAATAATTTATATGATGATTTAGATATAAAGAAATAATCTATTAAAAATAATAGTTGATAAAGCAGAAATCAGTAATGGTATATATAAATCAATTTACAAATCTTAATTCCAATTTGAAAACAATATTCTCTTACAATTATTAATTTGAATGATACACTTAAACTTAAACTTAGTAGAAATAGTTATTATATTGATCATAAATAAAATCATATAATGATAAAAATTTATCTTTTAAATAAAAGTAAAGAAGTTTTAAAATCTGAATAATATTATCAATAATTTTATAAATTCTATTTTATTTATTAATTAATAAAACAAAATCTAATGAATTTTTTTAAAATTTATCTTTATGTTGGATATGAAAATTATGAAAGTTTTTCTAAAATAAGACAATTATTTTAACATTAACTTTTTATTCTTAAAAATAATAATAATATAAGTAAATTTATCAGAATTACAACTTTACTTAATATTATAACTTATTACAATCTTGTAATATTTTAAAATTATTAATAGTTTTTGCTTATAATTTATAATAATAGCAAAATTATCTCAATTTAATATAATTTATATTTTAATTAAGAATATAAAAAATCAAAAAATATGTAATTTTATTAATAATAAAATATTAAAATACTCATTTTAATTTTTGAATAAATTGAATTTAATGTAATATTAATATTAATAATATATTATAATAAATAATATATCATAAAGAAAATATGTGTTTTATGTATAAAAATGATTGGTTTTGAATATGTTTTTTAATTTTAGTGATAATATATATAATTATGTTTAAAACCTGTTCAAAACTATTCAAAATTGTTTAATTTCTCAACACTGATATAAGGGCTATACAAAGTAAATTGATACTTAAAATAAAACTATATATAATATTAACAATACTATAAAATTAATTTTTTTTAAAAATACAATAAAGCAGATATTTATTTATTTATTAAACAACATTTTTTGAATATAAGTAAAAAAGAAATTCTAGATAAATATAATATTTAAAATTAGTTTCACAAGCTATACAAGTGTAGACATTGTTTAGAAAATGCAAAAATAATTAAAAGATTTATTAATAAAAAATCATATTCTAATTTTTAAGTTCAAATTCACATAAAACTTAATTTTCAAAGATATTTTATATTCAAAAACATATTTTGAAGTTAAAAATATCATATTATCATTTTTTAGTCTTCTAAGCAATTTTTATTTTTATAAAATTTTAATGAAAAGCTTATTTAAAATATTTTAAATATTAGGATAATTTTAAATATCAAAAATTTGTATAAATTTCTTTTGAAAAATATAAGAGTGTTCAAAAATACATTTTTGAAATCATTAATGAAAGTAATATTTAATTTTTTAAGTTTTTTTTATGAATATTTATTAATTTTATTCTTAAGTAATTATAAGTTAAACAAAAAAGTTTTTTATATATTAATTATAATAAAATAAAAAATACATTATTTTTTTTAAAACAAAAATATAAACTTCAAAAAAATGATTATTTTATCATTTCTATATAGCTAATATAAAGCAATAAAAAAGAAATTAGAATAATACAATAATTTTTCTTTTAGAAAATAATCTATTCAAAAATTGAAAAAATATATAACTAAATTAATATTTTTTATCACTTCCATAGCCAATGTGAAATAAATAGATAGAAATTATATATTCAAAACAAAAAAAAATGTTGCTAATATATATTTATATAGTCATATAACAATCACATGCTAGTGCTATTAATATTATCAAATCAAAGATTCATTAAAATATATAATAATAAGAGTTTTCAAAAAAAAAAAGCAAAGAAACTAAACCTATAACATAGTTTTCTTAACTCATTAAGGTAAATATATAACAATTCCTTCTTCTAGAAAAAGTAGATCTTTACCAAAAAAAACTCATTCTCAAATAGATTACTATCAGTTGATTTACTTAAAACCTAATAAAGTTAGTTTATCTATTAAGTTTACTTATATCTTAAGTTTAACTCTATCAGCTATTCTATTCATTTACTTTATCTAAAAAAAAAAATAATAAAAATAACAAAAGCAAAAATATTGTTTTTATCTAATTTTATCTACTTTTCTTTGTTATCTAACATAATAAAAAATATTAAATATTTTTTTTTGATTTGTAAGAAGTTTAAATTTTAGAATATATAATAAATAAATAAGCATAATAAAATCATATAATTATTTGATTATAATAGACTAAAACTCTAAATTGAAGTAATGCAAAAATAAAATTATGTATTTAAATATTAATAATAATATAAAATATGTAATATAATTTTTATATAGTAAATAAATATAAAATTTAATTTTATTAATTATTATAATATAAAAAATTTAATATTGCAATAGAATTTTTGACAGCTATATTTTTATAATTAGAAAAATTACATTTAACTAGGGTTCCTCAAAACTGAATTGAATCAAATATTTAAGCAATTTGAATTTGATTTGATTTTTTCAAATTGAATTGAATTGAATTGAATTGAAC